CATTCTGCAAGGAGAACGCCCGTTCTGCAAGGAGAACGGCCCGTTCTTCATTCAGAACGGGCCGTTCCGGATGCAAAAATACACACATGACGAATGCATCAAAATGGGCCGTTCTGCTTGGACGTTCCAGTTTCAAAAATAACAGATTATTCGTGCAAGCAGAACGGCTCGTTCTGCTTGGAGAACGGGCCGTTCCGGTTGCAATATTTACCCACAACCCGAACTACAAACAGAAAAGAAAAAAGAATTTAAATACTTCTCAAAATTCGGTTCCCGGGGAACCGAATTCTGAGCTAAAAAAAAAAAAATTGAAGTTCAGAATTCGGTTCCCCGGGAACCGAATTCTGAATATGAACAGTAAAAGGTTCTATTTGGGTAAATAAAGTTGTACAGATGTTTTTTTGGTAAATTTTTTTTAAAAAATATTATTTTAGTAAAAAATTCCACGAAAGGGGGTTATCCCTGAACTGAACCACAGGTTCTTGTTCTTCTGTGTCACAACTCAGACCCTGACATAGTGACATGTCTTGTCTCGGTTTCAGATATTTTTGTTCGTTCATGGAGTATCCACCGCCGATAGCAGTGACTAATCTTCTCGCTACGTTGGAGGCATCTTAAAGGATGGGATAGCTGACCCCAAGATTTAATACAACTGCATACACAAGGTAGGATTCGAACTCCTGACCTTGCTTAAGCGTTGATCAACCCCTACCGCTAATTTAGTTATTAATTATTAATTATTAATTAACTAAATATCATCGTTAGTGGAAAGAAGGAAAGGCTCAAAACATGACTTCTAGATGGGAGAGGAAAAAAAGACTCCCTGAATGATGAACAATATAAAATGCACTTAGGATGGACCAACAACTGTGGACCTAACTCACAAAGAACAAGAGCATGTGCATTGTGCATACGCATTTGGTCAAGGGAAATATAACTTGTACCACAAATAATTAATGTTGTACTAAATTACGATACAATTTATTTCTATCATTATTTTTTTTTTGGTAATTAGGCATGATAATCACCCCCTCCAATTAACCATTTTTATAAGCAACACTATGGGTATAGGTATTCAAATCACTCCATCGTTAATTAAATAACACAAGTATTGAATTATTTGTACAAACAACAACAGTACACTCTTGCAGTAATAATGATCGAGAAATTAAGTTTCATTTTTATTTTAGACGTACAACCACCAACCATGACTATGAGAATATCAAAACTATTCTTGCTTGAACACTAGCCCTTTCCTTTATATCCATATGGCCAAAAAATAAATATAGTTAAATTGTGTAAGCATCTAGACCTTTTATTTTATTATTTTCTTTTCCTTATCCCAATCAAGGTGTTGATTAAAGTGTTCTTTACATTCTAACACAACGAAGGCGTCAAAACCCAACCAAGGCACCAAGTGTAGGATAAGGACCAAATATGCTAAATTACAAGAGAAGAAAAGGTGTGTCTGAAAGTAAGTTATTTTCACAATGTAAACATTGAATTTTTTTTCATTTATATATTCTTTACACTAAAAAATACTGGGCTTCAAGTTGATGCTTTTAGTCTTCTATTGTTTGTTTTTAAGCCGAAACAAGAAGAAAACTTGATAGAACTATTTTCTTTGGGTCTCGGCTTCTTGAGGAATCAGTGTCTTTGCATGGTTATCTCAATTCGAATTTATTAACTTTTTTGTGTGAACAAGTTGCTAACCTACATAATAGGAAAGTTCATCACGAAAGCCTGAATGGACGTAGGTGTTTCTTTTATTATATGTAAGATAAGATTTAGAAAAGCAACAAATGAAAATGAATAATGTGTTCCACTACAACAAAAGCAAATTCAAATTATTATATATATCTAATAAAAATCCAGCTTACATTGTAATGTCGAATGATACTATTATAAAAAAATATTTGCCATAAAATTCTATTCAAACGTGCCACTTAATTATTATCATTAAACAGTCAACTACCTTTAAAATTTGGCCATATTATTAATTTATTGGTTAAGATTAGGATAAATTGCATTCTTCTCCTTTTCACGAGAGATGTTATTAAATCTACATTCTTCTTTTCTCTTATTTTAAAATATGCATTTCCTTCTTTTTAAGTGATCAATGATCACGGGTCATATAACAATTAATAATCATTGAACATATTGAGCATGACTGATGTAATACTCATCTACTCGAATAATTATATAAAAAATAAATAATTTAATATCAATTTGAGTTCCTTTAAATATGTTGTTTAAATTGTTGTATAATTAGTAATTATTTTATACTTTGTTGATTCTTTGTTTGCTAGTTTATTCTTTCATGTTTTTTTTGTTGATGTTGGATTGTGATGAGCATTATTATATAGGAGTAGAGCATAATTAGGCTAATGTATTTTGGTGGTTGAAGACCGTGCTGAATGGTAGTGTAATTTGGGATTACTTTTGCATAATTTTATACAATTACTTGATCGATAACTTAAATTTATATTATAATTATTTTAGATTGTTGTATATACATATACATGTCAAGATTGGTGATTGATCCATTGAGAAACATTTACCTTTTTGGTTGGTTTATTATTATGCATATATTTATATTAAGCATTGCTATATCCTCCGAACCATTGTCCGATTCAGCTTCCAAATAATTAAAAAATTAATATCTTTTAATAAATTTATTATAAAATAATTATTTAATTTAATATTTTATTATTTAAATTAATTTTTTAATGATTCGGACAAAATTTTGGTCTATTCATTCTGAACATCAAGCATTTTTCATTTATATTATTACATGTACCTTTCAAGAGTTGTTTGTAAGTTAAATTTAGACAATTTTTGTGGATTTTTTGTCACTAATTATTAATAATATAATGATCATGGCTAGGCATGGCAACAAGTTTTATGTTTCTCGTCTCATTTTTGCAAATTTAAACTGTCCCGCTCCCGATATCTACCGGGAGTAAAATCGGAGTATCCATCCCCACCCTTGGCGGGATTCGGGTTTCCTCGCCCTCGCCCTCACTCCTAGACCTTTTTATTTTTTTATTTTTTTTCTTCAGTTTCTAATAAATATGAAATTTTTTTAAATAAATAAGATAAAGGTTTCAAGCAGGGCTTGACAGATATTAATATTTTCATCATCGATTTTACCAGTCAGGAAAAATCCAAACTCGAACCCAGTCAACATGGATTTTTCCCGTCTAAATCTGGGTGGGTATCCATAGAACCAGATTAAAATGTCATGCCTATTCATGACGAGTTATCACATTTATTCCTTAAAAAGTTATTCTTTTTAAATACACTAATTTAAAAACATTTTTTTAAAATTTAAACGAATGTGGCCTAAATTCGTTTAAACCAAAGCTAAATGGTTTGTGCCAAAAAAAAGCTTCCAACGATTAAAAAAAATTAGGCCAGTAACTTTTGCAAGTTTCAACTTTGTGTGTCTCGGTGTATGTTTGCATTTGATATAATTTTTCACGTCTAATTTAAAGTGTTTTTATGTAAATCAGATATTTAGACGTAGAAAAAGAAAAAGAAAATATTTTAAAAAATCGATATCAAACACCCACTCAATCTATATATTAACTTCACTTTCTAGGATTAAAAATGATAGTTGACATAATTATATTAAAAAATTATGTAATAAAACTTGTTTATGATTAAATAACGACGTAAAATTTAGGTTAAAATCCTTATTTGGTCCTTTATAATATTTTTTTGTTTCAATTTAGTTTCATTTTAATTTTTAGTTTTAGTTTGGTTCCCAATAATTTAAATTATTACAATTTGGGACTTCCGTCCAAATGATTTAAATGGAGTTAACTGGTGGCCACGTGGATGTCAGGTGGTTGCCACGTAGATGCCACGTAGATGTGTAGGTGGATGCCAAATTTCTTGAATACACCTGGAACTAGAACAGGCCTTTCTGGTTTCAGAACGGGCCGTTCTAGTTCCAGAATGGTCGATAATTATAGTTCACGGTTGTGAATTGTGCACGAAAAAAGACTTAAGGTACAAAACATTTCAAACACTAGATTTGATAATATTGTCAATGGGGATTGATAACTTCAATTACTAAACATTTGGGCTACACAGTGTATCATTAAGGACGATGCAGTCTATCACTAAGGACAATGGTATTGGTAGCAGGTTTTATTTCATTGTTAGTCAAACTAACGATAACCACTTACTATCAAATTGACACTATACAGTTAAGGATGAAATGAAACGGTGTTTCCCCTTGAAGTCATTGACGATGTACCCCAACAATAACAACCTGTTCTTGAGGAGGTACAACCTGAATTTTTGTGGTTTAGGGTTTTCCTTCAACGTTACCCAGATAATTTCCTTTCTTAGTAATTTCTTTGAACTTTTTTAGTATATGCTATGTTCTGAATTTTTGTTTTCAATTCTGAACCATGTTTCTGTCTTTGAATTTTTGATATGTTATGAATTTTTATTTTCAATTTTTGAACCACATTACGACATTTTGGTCAACAAAGTTGGCGTTCTGGAATGGGCCGTTCTGAATCCAGAATGAGCTGTTCTAAAACCAGAACGGCCCGTTCTAATGCACTCATGGTGTGTTAAATTTGCATTTGGAATGACCCGTTCCAGTTGCAAAATTAACACATAACATGTGCAAACAGAACGGACCGTTCTGGTTCCAGGTGCATCCACCTATGCATCTACGTGACATCCACATGACATCCACGTGGCCAACAGTTAACTCTGTTTAAATCATTTGGACTGAAATTCCAAATTGTAATAATTTAAATTATTGAGAACCAAATTAAAACAAAAAATTAAAATAAGACTAAATTAAAACAAAAAAATATTATAACGGACCAAAGAAGGGTTTTAACATAAAATTTAACATCACATAACAAGGTGAAAATATAAAAGTGTGTAAAAAATAAAATTTGAAAAAGTAATTAATAAATAAAAAATAAAATCGTAAATTAAAGTGGCTGACTAGAGCACCAATCGGTGGTTTTACTTTGAGTGGTTTACCCAAATTTAACCATAGCACAACGGCAGTACATACAGCGCACTCTCTACATTCAACACTATTTCTTCTATACGCACACACAAAGGTAAGTTTCAAGTTTCTAGTTTCTACCAATTCCAAAAGATTTTTTATTATTTATTATTTATTTTTATTGTTTTGAAACTGTTTCATTTGATGTTCATCGTTGTCTGGATCCAGCTGTCTTTCCCCTTTGAAGGGCCTTTTCAGTTCTGCGCCAACGGAAACAACCAACCAGATCCAACTCACCATTAATCGCTTGTTGACGACGATACCATTCGCCACACGCAGATCGGGAATTTGATTCCAAAACACTATGAGCGTCATCGACATTCTTACCAGAGTTGACTCCATTTGCAAGAAGTACGACAAATACGACGTCGAAAAGCAGAGGGACTCCAATATCTCCGGCGATGATGCCTTCGCCAGACTCTACGCCTCCGTCGACTCCGACATCGAGGCCCTAATTCAGGTCACTCGATTTCTCCCCTAATTGCCCAATTTTTCCATCAAATCGCCGGATTAGGGTCTTCCGTGACTCTAATTGTATGTGGACTGGAGTGGAATTTTTTGATGTGTGTTGTTGAATTTTTGTGTAGAAAGCAGAAACCGCTTCCAAGGAGAAAGGTAAGGCATCTGCTGTAGCCATCAATGCCGAGATTCGTCGTACCAAGGCTCGGTTGCTGGAGGAGGTTCCCAAATTGCAGAGATTGGCTGTGAAAAAGGTTTTTTTTTTTTTTTTTAATATTTATTTTTAATTATTATTTAGGCTGGATCTTTTATGATGTAATGAAGAGTAATTTGATTTGCTGAATTAGTCTCACTGATAACTTGTTAGCGGCTAAAGATAATTTGTTTAATCTAATTGAAGAGTTCTTTTTTTTTTATAAAATTTGAACAATGGGAAAGACTAGAGAAATATATCCAATTTTTCTATTGTATGATATCTGCTTTTACTAGTGTAACTGTCGAGATTCGAAAGGGAATACTTGTTTCTGTCTGTAGTTCTGATTGTTTGTTTGAACCACTATTGAGTTGTTAAATTTGGTCTGCTAGTTTTCTCTGAAGCTTGATTTTTTCTTTCAAATTTATTTTGCATTTAGTAAATAAGTAGCAAGTGAAGTTTCAAAATTAAGGACAGTTGATTTGTCTGATGCATGATAGAATGTATCCACAGGTAAAGGGGCTTTCATCACAAGAATTTGCTGCCCGTAATGATTTGGTTCTTGCATTGCCGGATAGAATTCAAGCTATCCCAGATGGGACTCCTCCTGCACCAAAACAATCTGGAGGCTGGGCAGCTTCTGCCTCACGTCCTGAAATTAAGTTTGATTCAGGTAATTAAGTTATCCAAGTCTCAGGTTGATGCAATTATCGTATTTCATCTTTGGGAGGCCTTTTAATTGACTGACTCTGTTCGTGTGTGTGAATCACGGAATCATCTCAAATGCAGATGGGCGATTTGATGATGAATACTTCCAACAAACTGAGCAATCCAGTCAGTTTAGGCAGGAATATGAAATGCGTAGAATTAAACAGGTAAGTAACCTAAAGCAGTTGTGTGAGGTTCACTGTGTCTTTCAGCTCAAGTTTATTCTGATTATTGGATGTCACCCCCTGAGTGGATTTACTTTCAAATCTAACTGCACATAACTTTTCAGGATCAAGGTTTGGATGTGATTGCTGAAGGATTGGATACATTGAAAAACATGGCACATGATATGAATGAGGTCAGTTGCTTTATTGTTTTTGGTTAATTATAAATTTAATCACTATATACGACATTGTTTTAGTCCCTTGTAATAACTCATCAGTTTGGTCCCTACATGAAGCTTTGTTTAAAAATTAGTCCCTGGTCCATATCATTTATTATTAAGTTATAAAGGTGTTAGATTTTTATTTCTCCATATAGGAACCAAAATAAAATAAAAATAAAGTTTCAAGTGTAGGGACTAAAACGAAAAATAGTGTCAGTTTATGGATCAAATCTAATAGCATTATAACTCTGGCAAATGGAAAGAATCAATTTGTAAAATGTAAATATTGGTTCATGTAGGGAGTAGGGACTAAAATGTTGAGTTTCTTTGGATAGGAAATAAAATGAAAAAAGAGTGTGGTGTAGGGACCAAAATTTTAATTTAACCTTGTTTTTATCTTCCTTGTGTGTGTGTTTTAACCCTTTTCATGTTCATTATTTATGTGCTGAATACAGGAAATGGACAGACAAGTTCCACTGATGGATGAGATTGACACTAAGGTGAGAATTATGAATCTCTGTCTGTATCCAAATTCCAAACTAAAAACTTGAAAATGTTGGCTTTTAGAACTTGAATTATGAAGTTGAAAGTAATATGACACAATTTGTCATCTTTATAGGTGGACAAGGCATCCTCTGACCTTAAGAATACAAATGTTAGACTTAAAGACACAGTGAACCAGGTTATTTGACCACAATTCTATCTGTATAGATTTCCATCAGTTAGTATTTGTACCTGTGTTAGATTTCTTGCTGAATATTATGGTTTTTTTCTCATCCAGCTTCGATCCAGTCGAAACTTCTGTATCGATATTGTTTTGTTGATCATAATTTTGGGAATTGCTGCCTACTTATACAAGTAAGGCTCCTATCTCTTTTTATGAACTTGAAAACGCCTAGCACTTCTCTTTTGCTCATGAATTTCAACTCTGCTTGTGATGTAGTACTGTTCAATTTGCTTATTGATTTGAATGATGAAAATTTTGGTGTATTTATTAACGTGGTCTTGTGGGAGAAATTTAAGGTTCAATTTTTTATTTGGGAAATGATTATTGTACAACAAATTTTACAACTCAGCGAGAGAAAGTGAGAAAAGAGAAATGAATTTGAAATGTAATAAATGATGAGGTGGAGAAAGATAAACAAGAAAATAATGTTGTATAAATTGTTTCTTGAATTGTTGGGCATGTGGTTTGTTAGTAAAGCATTTGTCTCATATTCCTAGGATGTATATGCACCTTTTGCTGTAGAACATAATCTTGTTTTATTCCCTCTCTAGCATTTTCGTCCCTCTTCCCTAATATGTTTTCGTTGAAACATATAATGATATAAACAAAAACTACTGTATGAGCCAAATTTGTTGTTCAACGGTGTTGAAATAAATTATGCTCTATCTAAAAATTTTAATATTGTTATCTATTCTGCTTATTAACTAAAGATGGCCGTTCCTTGTTACTTCCTTATTGCTGGGATCTTAATATCATAGGATGTGTTTTATGGTGTTTACTAGTTTCGCACGCTTTATCTGTTTTTGAGACACCTTTCTTACTTGCGGTGCTCATTTTGCAGTGTACTAAAGAAATGATATGTACACAAGGCTGATGGATGTTCTCGAAGGGTTTGCCTTTATTTCTTGTATTTTGAGAATATTGTGTCTGATTTTCTTTTAATATTTTTTATTTTATTTCTACCATTGTGAAAATTCCCCGGTACTGGAGAGATGTGCGCTTGTGCTTTATAAGCAGTCTTGTGTATGCAGTTATGTCACATCCCATTAGGATGTTAAATAGTTGTCTCGTACTCTTTATACTTGTTTAGGTATGTTATATTATATTATTGATGCTGATAAATTAGGAACGATGCTTTGCTTGGTGTGTAATTCTAGCTGGAGTTAGCTACAAACACGACGAAAAAAAAATTGTGGGTAACCGCTTAAAAATGAAATTATTCAACTAATTTTTCGTTTTGTCTTGACACGCAGAATTGTTTGTTTTAAACTCTTGTGACTTTTAGTGACGAATTCCTTCGTTCCTTTAATAATGTTATATGATTAGTTGATTACATGATAGTAATTGCAAACGCCTGTATCAAATGAGAATGTTTTTAGGGATTATTTTGCTATAAGAGGATTTTTAGGTATTTTTTAACTTATTAAATTCAATTTTATATTTCAATTTCATATAGTATTTAGATTAAGTTTTATAATTTTTAAAATAAATTATCGGTAGATAAAAATAATTGCATCGGAATATAAATTTTAATTATATATAATTAACATTTAAACCGGGAAAGATTAAAATACTAATCATATGTTTATGAGTTTGGAGACATCAACGAAATTATTTGTGGTGAAATGTGATGTATAGATCCCATTATCTGTAATGGAATTGTCGTTCTTTCCGTTAATCATATTGTGGCTTTAGTGACGCTATGATTAATCCTATCCTAAAACTAAAGCACCTCTTGGGTGATCAAAAAGGCAATACAAGTAGTGGGTGGGTATTACATTCAAGCCTGCAAGGCAGAGAGATTTAAAACCAATAAAACACAGTCAAAGCATCTTCTGATTAGGATTCAGTTGTGATTAGTAAAAGGAATATCAGTTAATAATACTTTCTCATAAGTCTGGGCTCCATGTGGCTACAAACACTTAGTCTGGCTTGTAGCCCAAATCCAATTGACAATGCTCGGTCTCTGTTTAAAGCTATTTGAAGGTTTATGATATATACACCTCCTGTCTTTTATAAATACATCTCATATCTCTCTTTTTTCCCTTTATTATTTTATAAGGAAAATTTTTAAAATGTCCTTCTAATTAAATTTTAATTTTTAAAATTATCTTTTTCATTCACCCCTTCCTCCTTCTTTTAGAAAAATATTTTTCAGAATAGTGAAATTAAAATTAATATTTTGAAAAGTATTTTTTTTTTAAAAGTATATCTACGGACATGCTTACGAACACTAGTTCTACGGTTTAAATGCATGTGAAAATTGAAAAAGAAAAAAAGGATAATGTAAAATTTAAAAAAACTAAAACTATCTATCAAAATAGATAGAGGTGGGAAGAAAAGCAAGGAGGTGTATGTAAGAAAATTGAAAAAGTGAGGGAAGAAAGTGTATGGAAAAGAAAGAGGAAATTCTAATTTTAATGTTAAAGATGTAAAATTGAAAAAATAAGAATATTTTAAGAATTTACTTTAAACAAAAGAAAAAAAGGAAAAGGAGATGTATTTATTAAAAAAAATTGTAAAAGGCGTCAACGTTGGGCCTCTCCTAGGGCTCGAGGTGAGCCAATCTTGGCTGATAATTTTGGTAGGCAAGGTTAGTAAAATGGTTCATAACTTGTTTTATTAAAATAGATAGAGTTCTGCTCGTGGAACTGCTTAATGGGTGTCTCGTGTTCTCAGTATGTCAATCGAGAAGGTTTGTAGGCTTCTGTATTGTATTTGTAATATACTGAAATTCCCGATGAACTTGCAGTATACACAAAGTCAATTTAGGCGTAGAAATTTTAAAATTCCTTTGCTAATTCATAAATATTCCTAGCTTCCTAGTTTAAACTACTATGCATCTTTGTTCCAAGCTTTTTGACCACGTATGTCAGGGACTGAAGCAAGTTCAAGTTCCAAAACATTGTTTTGATTTATGTCCCCTACAACAAGAGGGATACTATTCCCGAAAATATTACACGTCGCATAGTAATTCATTAACATAGTAGTAGTATGGTACTATGTTTATTCAGACAAACATGCACTTTAATTATTAATTTTCTGTTATTCTTCAATTTTGAAGTTTATTCAGGTCTAGTTTTTTGAAACACGTTCCTGAAGACGTTGCCTGTTTCAATTAAATAAAATACATGTAAAGACACTACTTAGCACGAAAATTTTCCAGCAAAACGTTTCAGAATGACATAACCTATCAAGTAATACATGGGAGAATGAGTAAGAGAATTGTAAATGTAGCAGTGACATGTAAGTTGGTGTCCCTTCATGTCAAAATGGAAAGCTAGCATTCCTTTGGTAACGTTCCTTCAAGGCAACATCTAAGCAATGCTATTGTCTACACTCTACACAGACTCGGGAACTCCCATAGATTATATTTTTATAGATGTATTTCTTGAATGAATGAGTTCCATGATTCCACCAGAAGGGTTGAATCTAAATCCATGAGAGAGTTGGATTTTTAAATTGGAATATTTGTCCATGCAATGAAAAGTTATAGCCTACGGACGAACCTTGGGCCTTGGGGAGGTATCTGTCAATCATGGAGAAATGATATCAACACATTTTTTAATATGCTCTTTTAAATACATTTTATTTAATTAACTAAGATTTATAAAAATAAAATAAAATTTGGCGAGTTCTATATTTTATTTAATGACTTTTTTTGATTTTTTAATTTTTAATAAATTTTAATTAATAAAAATAAGTATATTAAGGGAGTGAATTAGAAAATGTGTTATTAGTACTTTTCATGAATAATATTCATCACAAATATTTTTAATCTTGAAACCACCCAACATGAGTTATATTTATATTTAGCCTAAGTGAGACTATCCGTCAAATTTTGGTATTTTTATCTTTAATTTTGTAATTTTAGTTTCTTAATTTTATATAATTTATAGCTTTAATCTAACTATTAAATATTTGTTTATTGATTGTTAAAATTGTAATATTGAACATGATCTGGTATCAAGTAGATGATTTGATAATAAAAATTTAAATTTTTTATTAAAATATATTTTTAATCTTTACTTTTACCGGAGTAAAGTTGCAAACTAAAAATACAATTTAATAGAATAATATTATTATATATAAATTTTCACATTACTTACTTATAAGTCACAATCCATGTTGCCATTTGCCATTTTTCTTTGGTAATTTTTCATAGCATAACTTTTGCTTGGTCAAGTGGTTATCAAACTATCATATGTGAACCAAGCTCTAAAAATGCCCTCTCCCTCATTAAGGATGGTGTGTCTCTAATTCATCATCATGCAACAATCGTACACAAAATTAAGGTTATGTATATCGTAGTTGAAATATTGTCTTTATTCATACTTAGAAGAAAATTGGTATGCTGATTAATTGCTTAAGGAAGGTGTTTCATCGGCTAATAGTCTAGTTATTTGACTTGCATGCCTCCTTGATTTATTTTTACTTGTTTGTATTGATTCCACGATAACTTTCTTTCTTAGAAGCAGATGAATAACTAGTTGTTTGTTTTGCTTTTTTAAGCTTTTTTTTTTCACTAATAAAAAAAATCCACCTTGCAATTTTAATTGTCAACAATGAAGATTTAATACTTGAATTAAAATTGTTAAGTTTTATAAAATTAGAAATTAAGTGAACAGAATTGTGGATAAAAAATTATAGTAGAAAAAAAATACAATTTAGTCTTATATTTATATATTACATATTACATGCTGCTAGATCATGCAAAGATGTACAATTAATTATCAAGTAATATAATATTAGGTAGATTATATTGAATAGGTGGTGTGACATCACTACCACCAATAATTTTTCAAAGGTCTTGCTTGACCTTGTAGATAAGACTCTATTCACGTCACTCACATGTAGTAATTTTGGTTATTGAGCTTCTTGATTCCTCCAACTATCTGAAGCTCACCTATTGGATATAAAAGACTTCAACTAAATTGAAACGCCAAAAATAAAAAATAAAAAAAAGCTCACCCAAAATTCGATCCCATATCATCAAGCTCTAATTCCAAATGTTGAATATTAATGCACACAAATCCATAATTATATTATATACTACTGTCCAAAAGAACTTCAAGAGAACTTATAGTAACTCTTATTCATATAACATGCTTTTCCATGATTACTACTTATAGGTACAAGAAATATTTATATTTTACATCATAGTAAAACTCTCTATACAAATTAAATAGTAAAAATAAATTGTAATCATGTAACGTAATTAGAAACTACGTAGTTTTAATAATACTAAAATATAGATGATGTTGACTTTTCAACAACATCCATATGCTGGGACAAAACTATAAAAAATTGTGAGAGAATAAAATTTAACACATGATAAAAAAAAAACATTTGACCGAGATATTAAGAGAAAACGTTAAGCTTAAAATGTTAAAAAAAGGTATAAAATTTCACTACAAGAAACTCGTGCTCCTCTTGTCAACCAACATTAAGATAAAATTACAAATATGCATAATGACCCTAATTCAACTTTTTCCTTACAGAGATTCATCGCAGCAAAGTTAAGGATAGTGTCTTGTAATTAAGGGATGCACAATGTCGGTAGCTTCTTGCACTCTGATAAGCCATCTTAGTTTTCACTCACAGAAGAAAAATGTACTTGCTAGATGCAGCTATTATGGATTGATGATCAGTGCTAGGCAAATTAATGTGTTTGTTTAATGAGCTTGTGCCCCACGGATGGTGTATAAAAATTCAGATGCTACTGTTTTCATAAGTTCACATGGTTAAAAAAACATTTGAAAGTGGACATGAAGCTACAAATGATGGGGTAATGCAGTGTAGCTTTTGTCTGACAAGGAATCTTGTTCAATTGAAATGTTGAATATTGGACATGGGTTACATGGCAATTGTCTTTTAATGCATGCATGGATTTCAACAATTGGATGGATTGGACCTTCAATATTATGACCAAATCCACCTATTCCAACATTACAAGACCTTACAACATTCATTATTATGTGTGTACTTTACAGCATTTAAACTGAATTAAGTGTTCATTTTTCCCAATCTTTTCCTTTTCTGATGGAGTTATTGTCATCTGCAAAGTAAGACAAACATTGTGAACATATATTCATGAAGCTCTACACAGAATTATACTGGATCCCACCATGCTGATTAATATATTCTATTTCCGGTCCCAATATGAACTTTAATTATTGAAAACCGGATTACTTGTTCTTGGCCAGAGTGCACCAC